CCCCTCGGCATCCTCCACTTCCTGATCCTTTTCATCTCCCTCTCTCTGTATCTCTGTCTCTCTCTCTCTCTCGCGCTCTCTCTATCTTTCTCACTCTTTCTCGCTATGTATGTTTAGTTGTTTTTCTCCCTCTCTCTCTCTCTCTCTCTTTCTCTCGTTCTCTCTCTCTCCCTCTCTCTCTCTCTCTTCCCACTCTAGGCTGACAACCCTGCGCACTACAACTCCAACCCATACTCCGATATCTGCACCTCGCCTCCTCCTCCTCCTCCTCCTCCCTCCTTCCTTTCCTCCCTCCCGCCCTCCCTCCCTCCCTCCCTCCTTCCTCATCCTGCTCCTCCTCCTCCTCCTCCTCCTCCTCCTCCTCCTCCTCCTCCCTCCTCCTCCTCCTCATCATCATCATCATCATCATCAACCTTTGTTTTTGTTGTCTTCGTCCTCTTCCCCTTTCTCCTCCTCCTCCCTCCTCCTCCTCCTCCTCCTCCCTCCCTCCCTCCCTCCCTCACTCCCTCCTCCCTCCCTCCCTCCTCCTCCTGCTCCTCCCTCTGCTCCTCCTCCTCCTCCTCCTCCTCCTCCTCCTCCTCCTCCTCCTCCAACTGCTGCTGCTGGTCCCCCCCCCAGCCTCCTCCTCGAGACCCCGCCCATTCCTCATCCTCCCTTCTTCCTCCTCCACCCTCGGCGGAGGTAAAAGGATGTGGGAATGGAAGTAAATGCAGCAAGCACACGTGCTCCTCGTTTTCTGGCTGGCACGTCTCTGATCGAGGGTCCCCGATCCGATTCACCACGGGGCTCTCCCTCGGCACCCGTTTATCATCGCTTATTTTCTTTTTTTAAGGGGCTCATCAAATCTGGAGCCCCTGGCCAGGGTGGATGGTTGGAGCCCGGGCGACTCTTGTCCGCCAGGCAGGGCGGGATAGAAATACTACCTTAACTGTTTTTGTTTAGCTCCAGGCTCCAACCCTGTGGCCCCCCCGACGAGGGGGGAGGCCCACACGGCGCTGCGGAGCTTGACGTTTCTTCCAGCCGAGTCGATCCGATCCGATCCTCCATCCTCCATCCTCCTCCGCCTCCTCCTCCTCCTCCTCCTCCTCCTCCCCTCCTCCTCCACATTCACTTTTCTTTTCCCTACCCGTCTAACTTATGCCACCCCTCACCCATCAGCATCCCCTCCCCTCCTACCTCTACCAACTCCTCACCTCGACCTGTCCCCCACCTCTACCAAATCCTCAACCCAACCTGCCCCCTACCTCACCAAATCCCCCTACCCCTACCGATCCTCGACCTACATTTAGGTCGGGCATGTCCTCCTACAGGCGGATCTTGGAAGACAAATTCAAAATAGCCAGAACAATGCTCAACAATTGTTAAAAATAGTAGGAAAGTAGTCCCCATACTATTGTCAGAGTGAGGGGGCCGAACGGTCATTAACTGTCCCTGGGTGCGTGGCTGATGTGGACTTCCGCGGTGCGGATTCTCGTTGTTGTTGTTGAATATTATTACTTCTAAAGAATAACTATTGTTGGGCCCCCTGGTGCACGCCCCCCTCGCCGCGCCTAGGCCGCAGCCACATTTTCATCATTTTCGTGAGGAAGTCTCAGGCAAAACGGGGGAGTCCGGATCCGGTTGTTTTGTTGACGCCCGCTTTCCCTGTCAAAAAAAATATAAAATGACATGTCTTGTTCTAACATAACCAAACTTCAAGAATCCCTTGCAAAAAATAAGGTAAAGTGGACATTCGCGCGCGCAAGACGAAATCCTTCCAAAACCTTAGTTTTCGTAGCGATTTTAACATAAAAACATCAAAAAACCAATGGTTTTTTCAAAAAAAATTGTCAAAATTTCATCCCGCGCGCTCTTGCGGATTCGTAGGAAACCCAACACTTTTTAAACATTTCTGTCAAACGGGCTTTTGCGAGCAACTTTTTCGAACTTCTGCAACAACGGTTGCGCACCTGCCAGGGCCATCATCCCTGTCAAATAATACCATGCGGGACACATTCGTTTTTTCTTCGCGCGCGCACGCCGTCGTCGTCGGCCGCGGGGCCCTGAATAGTAGCCACGGTCGTCCGCATGCCACGAAGTGAAGTGTCCGAACGTCATAGGGCGGGAAGCTGGGTGTGGGTGGTGGCGAAGAGTCGTTTGGAAATTTGGTAGAGCTTGAACCGGCCCCCCCACAAAGTGGGGGTATTGCCCGCCTCCTATGAAAACCCTGGCACTGGTGAGAACGGAGTGTCCCCACGTGCTAGTAATTGTTGTTGTTGTTGTTGAACATTATTTATTCTAAAGAATAATTATTGTTGGGACCCCTGGTGCGCGACCCCCTCGCCGCGCCTAGGCCGCAGCTACATTTTCATCATTTTCGTGAGGAAGCCTCAGGTAATACGATGTCATCAAGATCCGGTTGTTTTGTTCCCCCCCGCTGTCCCTTGCAAAAAACACTATAAAATGAAATTTCTTGTTCTAAAATAACCAAACTTCAAGAATCCCTTGCAAAAAATAAGGTAAAGTGGACACTCGCGCGCGCAAGGCGAAATCCTTCCAAAACCTTAGTGTTCGTAGCGATTTCAACATAAAATCATCAAAAAACCAATGGTTTTTTTTTTTTAAAAAAAAAGTGTCACAAATTCATCCCGCGCGCTCTTGCGGATTTGCAGGAAACCCAACTTTTTTAAACATTTCTGTCAAACGGGCTTTTGCGATCAACTTCTTCACGTGCTTCGAACTTCTCCAACAACGGTTGCGCACCTGCCAGGGCCATCATCCCTGTCAAATAATACCATGCGGGACACATTCGTTTTTTCTTTCCGTGCGCACGCCGAAATCTTCAAAAACCATTGGGTTTCGTAGGAATTTTAGCACCGCGCAACATAAAATCATTTTTCGCACCGTAGGCCCTTCAAATCGTCGTCGTCGTATACTAAGCTAGTTTCCACAAGATGTTACCACAAGAAGTCATTGAAACCATGCGCCAGTGTAGTAGCCACGGTCGTCCGCATGCCACGAAGTGAAGTGTCCGAACGTCATAGGGCGGGAAGCTGGGTGTGGGTGGTGGCGAAGAGTCGTTTGGAAATTTGGTAGAGCTTGAACCGGCCCCCCCACAAAGTGGGGGTATTGCCCGCCTCCTATGAAAACCCTGGCACTGGTGAGAACGGAGTGTCCCCACGTGCTAGTAATTGTTGTTGTTGTTGTTGTTGTTGTTGTTGTTGTTGTTGTTGTTGTTGTTGTTGTTGTTGTTGTTGTTGTTGTTGTTGTTTGTTGTCGTCGTCCCACCCGCAACCCGCCCCGCGACCCACCCGCGACCCACCCCGCGACCCACCCCGCGACCCACCCGCGACCCACCCGCGACCCACCCGCGACCCACCCCGCGACCCACCCCGCGACCCACCCCGCGACCCACCCCGCGACCCAACCCGCGACCCACCCCGCGACCCCCCCGCGGCCCACCCCGCGACCCACCCGCGACCCACCCGCGACCCACCCGCGACCCACCCGCGACCCACCCGCGACCTACCCCGCGACCCACCCGCGACCCACCTTCGACCCAAACCACGTTCAAGGTACAAACCACAATTTTCGGCGCCTGCGGCGGGCTTTTTTGCATTCCTTCCAGGTGGAGAGCCCGCGACACATCCCGTGACCAACTCGCGACCAACCCGCGACCCAAACCACGTTCAGGGTACAAACCACATTTTTCGGCGCCTGCGGCGGGCATATTTTGCATTCGTTTCAGGTGGAGAGCCCGCGGCCCACCCGCGACCACGTTCAGGGTACAAACCACATTTTCCGGCGCCTGCGGCGGGCATCTTTTGCATTCGTTCCCTGTGGAGAACCCGCGGCCCACCCGCGACCCAAACCTCGTTCCGTGTACAAACCAATTTTTTGGCGCTTGCGGCGGGCTGCTGTTGCATTCCTTCCAGGTGGAGGTGGAGAGCCCGCGACCCACCCGCGACCTAAACCACGTTCACTGAACAAACCAATGCCGCACAAGCGCGGCGGCGGATTCTTGCATGCCGTCTGAGCCCGCAAGGACCTCTTCACGCCCCGCGCATCCACGCCAGCCCGTCCAGCAACTTTGCCCTGGCGAGTTGCCTTGATCAGAGAAGGCGGGGAGCATAAAGTGGAAAAAAGGATTGCGTTGCAGTTATCTTGGGAAAGGAGGGGGAGGCAGGATGAGTAAACAGGGGACGAGGAGAACGTGGAAGAAGAGAGGATGTAAGGAGAACGTGGAGAAAGAAAAGGAGGAGGAGCAGGAGGACGAGGGGGAGGAGGGGGAGGAGGGGGAGAAGGAGGACGAGGAGGGGGAGGAGGGGGAGGATGATGATGATGATGGACGACAATGGGAGGACGATGATGGAGGCCGATGAGGGGGAGGACGACAATGGGAGGACCATGATGAAAAGACGAGGGGGGGAGAGGGAGGACGAGGAAGAAGAGGAGGAGGAGGAGGAGGAGGAGGAGGAGGAGGAGGAGGACGAGGTGGAGGAGGATGACGATGACGATGAGCTCGAGGAAGAGGAGGAGGAGAAGGAGGAGGAAGAGGAGGAGAAGGAGGAGGAGGAGGAGGTGGAGGAGAGCGCCATCGACAAGAAAGGTGGGGGCCACGAGGTCCGCCGGCTCGACGACGCCCGCGTCGCCCGCGCCCGCCCCCTCACTCTTATCCGCACTTGCGGGGTGCTACGTATACTAATGTTTGAACATTCCTCGTGCAGAGGGACATTGCCCGCCACCGATCCTCTGCTAATCCTATCCCTACCCTCGGGGGGGGTCCAAGAGGGGGGCGTCCAAGAGGGGCCGGCGCAAATCATGGCTGGCGGCATGTGCGCGGCCCAGGGGGGTGGCGATGGCCAGGGACGTATTGAAGTAAGAAGAGGCGCCGTGAAATCTGGGAAGATATCATGGCCCCCACCATACAATCCCCCCCCCCCTGGCCATCCCCCCCCCCCCTTGGCCACCCCCGATGCCCCCTCCTCACCTCGTCCTGCCCCGGAAGCGAGGCGGGTGGCCTGGGCTGGCTGGGCCTGTGGGCTCTGGCCGCCGGACTTCTGCGGACAGTCCCGGGCGAAGTGGTCGCCGCCGCAGACGTAGCAGCCCGAGTCCTGGGGGGGAGAGTCCCTCTGCGGGCTCCCAGGCTCCCAGACACCCGGACGCGCAGGCACGGTGGTCACAGGACGGACGGACACCCAGACGTTGGACCTTCGCGGGCCAGGCAGCCTGGGACCGGGTCGAAACGAAGACCAGGTTGGCGGGCTTCATCCGCCGACGTCCCACGTCAACGCCGCAGTTGTCCTCCTCGAAGCGGGCGATCGGGCCGACCTGTAGGGCCGACCTTACGGTCACGCACTGACAGGCGAACCCGGGCCGCCAGGGTGCCCGCCGCAACCTCGGGGTCCCCGGGGCTCCCTGGCGCTGCTCCCCAAGCCCTTATGTCATCGAACTTCGCGCATCACGCTCGGCGCTGCGCGGTTCTTCGCGCCCTCGCGCCGCCCCCCTCCTGGAGAAGGGCACGCTCTCCAGCCCATGTCGGCGGTGGACAAACCTCCCTTTAGTAAACCTCCCTTCAGTGCAAACGGCCTAGGACCGAAACCGACGGACCTGGACCCGCAAAAATGACGGCCGCGACGCCCTCTCGCGAACCGAAAACGGCCAATTCGCTGATCGACGTGTCAGGGTAGGAGGCCTGTCCACCCCCGACCATGGCGCGACGCGCGAGGCGTCCGTCGAAGGGTCACCTTTGCGCGCGGCCGATGAGTGCACCCGGCCTGGAGTGGGGCCGCCTCGCGCCCACCGTTTCCTGCGGCACCGTTGCGGCCGCCGTGCTGTGAATTGTCTCCAGCGCGTCCTCGAAGCGATCGTCGCTCTCGGGCCTGCTTGGCCTCCTCGACCCTTTGCCTGCGCCGAAATTCCTGTATGCGTCTACGGCAGGTTCGTGTCGTGCCGACCCCAGCGTTGGTTTTTGACACCGCAGGGATCGTTCAACCTTGAACGATCGGCCGCTGCCGCAACGTCCGATCGTTCAACATCGATCGATTCTGGGTCGCCGGCGGCGTTCAACCTTGAACGCCCGCGCTGGGGTCGCCGCTGGTCGACACGACGCAAACCTACCGTATGCCAGATAGCCGTTCTGCCAACGCCGCCTCTGCGACGCCGCCCTGCGTCCCCGCTGGTCTCCTGATGCACGCCTGCCCTCGTCAACGGCGTCATCGTGCTGCCCTGTCGGTGGCCAAAATGAATTCGGGGGTCGCGTCGCCTGATGACTCCGTGAGACTGCGTGGCACCACGGCCGTCGGACCCAGCGTCGGCCTACAGTCAGAACTGGCAGAAAGAATGCGCGGTAAGGATGCAGCCCCCTGAAACGCGCATGTCGAAGCTTCTCGTACGGGGCTGGCCATCGAGAGTGGTTGAGGATGGACCGAAGAGAAGAAGAAGAAGAAGAAACCACGTAAACAACAATTTTTGGCGCTCCGCGCGGATTTCTGTGATTCGCGCTGGACCCCCCTCCCTGGCGCGCGGACCGCGCCAGGGGCGGCGCTGGAGGCGCCGCCGGGGGGCCCAGGCGCGGATGCAAGAAATCCGCGCGGAGCGCCAAAAGCTGATGTTCATGTGGTTTTCCTTCTTCGAACGAGGCAAGGATGGCGAGGCGAGGCGAGCGCGCGATGTCGGTCCGGTGGACCGGCCCTAGGAGGGCGGCGCGGTGGGGCCGGAGCCCTCAGTGGTCGAGGAGGTGGGGAAGTGAGCGTCGGGTTTGAGTGTGAATGGAAGTCGAGAGGTGGATGTCGAAAGCTAAAGGTGATATGTTGACGGCTGACAGGTCGTGGTGAGCGTCGGAAGTTGGATGCTGGAAGCTGGAGGTCAGTCGGGTGAGGTTGCCGACTGTGAGGTGCGGTCGTAAGCTGAAAGTGTGCGCTGAGGGTCAAAAACTGAAAGCTGGAGGTCGGTCAGGTAAGGCTGGCGCTAATGAGGTGGAGGTCGAAAGCTGGAGGTTGGAGGTTGGAGGTCGACAGCTGGTTGTGAACGCTGGGAGTCAGAAGTTTGAGGCTGAAGTCGGGCAGCTGGCTGTAGGGGTCGATGGGCGAAAATCGAAAAACTGGATGTGGAAGGTTGGAGGTGGACACTAGGTGGTGCTCGCTGGGAGTCGGAGGCTGTAAGCTGGATGCCTGTCGGTGAGGTTGAAATCGATCGGCGCATGAACGTCGACAGCTGGAGTTGCATGTTTGAAGTCTTTCATTGTTGCTGCACGCTGGGAGTCGGGCGCTGGGAGCTGCAGGTCGGTCATATGAAACTGTGAAACTGGAAGCCGGTAAGTGGAGGTCGAGGCTGGAGGTCGAGGCAAGGATGTCAGGGGTAATTACCCCTGGGAAGGTCACCCATCCTTACCATCGGTTTCGACTGCGCCACCCCCGACACCACGGGCGGCGCAGGGCCTCTGACGAGTGGCGGACGAGGGTGGCCTGGTCAGCAGCCGCCACGCTGGGGCGCGAGTGCTGCGAGGGCGCGGATGAATCGGGGGCGCGCAAGCACGGACTAGCGATCCGTGGATTTGGCGCGGGGTCGCCCAAATCCATGGATGGGGAGAGGTGCCCTCCCCAAAATGCGGCCAAAGCCGCCTCGCTCGGCGGCAGAAATCCGCGATTTCCCACGGAGACGGGACCCGTCGCTAATCCACGCCCCCTTGATCCATGCTTGCGATCGCCTGACAGTAGCTTGAGCGCCTTCCCCGTCCCCCGTCTGTGCGTTCCTCCCCACTGCACCTCTCCGCGCTCCCTCCCCGCTCGCTCCTCCCCATTCTCTCCGCACCCCTCTCCCCACGGACCCGCCCTCCTCTTCGTCCCTCCTCCTCCACCGAACTTGCCGTCATTCGGACGTTCATTCCCTTTGCGTTTTTCGGTCTTGTGCGTGCTTTTCTTGCTCGATGATCCGGGATGCTCTTCGGTGGTCCTCGCCGAGAAAAACTGCACACGTCCGAGCGAAGCCCAGCGAACAGGAGGCCACCGAGCGCAGGGACGCCGCACAGAAGACGCCATGCCTCGCCAGGCCGAGGCCGCCTGCGCTCCGGAGACGCTCGGCCACTACTGGCCCGAGCGCGCAAGACGCGCTGAGCCACCCGACTTCGGGCCTCGTGCCGCGCGCAGCGGGAGGCAGGGCCACCTCTGCGCGCCCTCGCGCGGCCCCCATGGAGACGGGCACCCCTCCGGCTCGTGCCGAGAAGCGCGGCCACCTTCGCGGACCTGCGGGCGACCCAGTGCACTCCAGAGCGTTCGCTGAGCTTCGACCCCGAGCCGCTTCGCTCCACTTCCCTTTCCAGCCCCCCCTCCCCCGCGACGCGCGCCGAAGCTCCCCCCAGACACGGTCCCCTCTCCCCTCCCACGCTCCGCGCAAGACAGCCCGTTCGTACCCCCTCTGGTTCCAACCCCAACGCTTGTTGAACCATCCAAAGCATCGCTTACGCCACGCCAACCTCGCCCATCCACGGGCACGCGGATCTTGTTGCCATTCTGCCGCTCCCAGTGTGTCTGACCGCCTCAGGATAATCCTGGCAGGTTGGGGGATGCCTGGAATAGGTGGCGACATCTAAATCCAACCCCCGCCGCCCATCGAGTTGCTTGAATCGTTGATGGGTTCGGATCCCGCCACCGAAGGAAGCAGCCAGCAAAACCATCGACAAACATGGGCCACCGACACATTCAGCAGCCCGCCTCGAGCTGTGCGGCGCTCTTCGCCTCGCGTCTTCGCATCGTCACTCGGGAGAAGGGCGGCCGTCCAGCCCAGACCGCGACGCGCGAGGCGCGAATATCCTCGCACCCCACGGGTGACCCAGGTGATCCTGGCAGCTTACCGGCGACTAGCCCGGGGGCAAGTGAGAAGGGGGCGGACCTCCTCAGAAGGCTCGGAAGTCCTCCAGCCCTTTTCCCAGAAGGCGAGAGGGCTTCTGAGAAACCCCGCCGCCTTCTGAGAAGGCCTCAGCCTTCTCACTTCCCTCCCTCGCTCGCCGCCGAGCTTAGCTAAGTATGCTTTGTCAGGGGCTCCGCAGAGCGGGGTTGAACCCATGAGGCAACACAGTAGGCTTACGGAACTCCAGGCTGGACGATGCAGCCTCATGCTGCCTCTTCGGCGGACATCCTCTGTCCCATCACGTCGCCGTCCACTTCGAACCCAAGCCGGACATAAGACGAAAGAAAGCGACTGCAGTTCACAGGACAGGCCTGGAACCCACAGTTGCAACACGGCATCTTGGAGAAGGGTGCCTCCCCCTCCCAGGTCGCGATCCGCGAAGCGCGATTATCTTCGCGCTATCGGAAGTGACCAAGCATACACTTCGAACCCGCGTCGGATCCACGCCGAACCTGCGTCGGACATTGGAGCACGGCTGCAGTTCAAGGGACAGGCATGGCCCCCCGCAGATTTTTCCAACGCGAGTGAATTTGGGAGATGAAGAAGGAAGGCTAAGGGAACGAAGCACTGAATGAGCATATGGCAAGCTTTACGGGAGCTCCACCAACAGCATCGAACACTCATGCGATCTCTATATATAATGTTTATCTATATATGTATGTATATATTATATATATATAATATTATATATAATTATAATATATATACGTAGCACCCCGCAATTGCGGATAAGAGGAGGGGGCGGGCGCGGGCGACGCGGGCGTCGAGCCGGCGGACCTCGTGGCCCTCACCTTCCCTGTCGATGGCGCCCTCCTCCTCCTCCTTCCTCTCCTCCTCCTCCTGCTCCTGCTCCTCCTCCTCCTCCTCCTCCTCCTCCTCCTCCTCCTCCTCTTCCTGGTCCGCGTCCTCGTCCACGGGTTCCAAATTGCAGCAGGCAGCTGGATTGCCAATGAACGTGTTCAGACACAGCCCCGCCGCAGGCGCCGATGCGCTGTTGCAGAGTCAGCGTGGGCCAAATCGGGGGAATGGCACGAGGGCGCTTTCCGAAACCAATGCGACAAAGCCCGCCGCAGGCGCCGATTTGCGTGCTCTGACAAGTTCAGCGCGGGAGGGATCGCTGGTGGGCCACCCAGAACGAATGCAAAAGAAACCCGCCGCAGGCGCCGAAGTTTTGGCTCGATCAGTGAACGTAGTTTGGGTCGCAGGT